TTCAGCAGGGAAGCACTTCTAGATCCATTATTAGAAAGAGTTTAAAGCAGCCTGGGGCTGTTTAGAGAGGCAATAGTGCTTCCTTTATTAAAAAAAAAGAGAGAGAAAGTAAATTATGGAATATACAAGAAAGTCCTAGAGCTACAGGAGATGCTGAGAGGGAGTGGAGAAGAAAAATCTGTGTCAGTCTTGATGAGGTCAAGTGTGTTTCTTCAACATTTGCCATAATTATCTGGCAAATACCTGGCAATAATGGTGTCATTGAACAGAGCTGTGGGAACGTAGAGAAAACACTTCATTTCTTCCCTCCTCCCCCACAGACATTGTAAATGAGTTCATGCTGGATTTAATCTTCCAGGCCTGGTCTGCTGGTGTCACCACACAAATGCAAACTTGATGGCAATGAATAATCTCCACATATCTGGCATTGTGATTAAATGAAGCGTGAGGGTAGGCTTCTGCTCTTGCATACAGCATAAGTAAATGAGGCCATTCTGCAGAGAAGTCTTCTGCACGCGTCCCTCATAAGGACTTTGATACCCTGCATTGTCACAATGGCAGCTTTCAACAAGGGTAAAACAGCTTTCAACAGGAAAACATATGTCTCGTGAAGAATAGTAATACTGTGCTTTGTCTGTCTCTTGCTTCAGGTGCAAGACGAAACTTAAGAAATGATTTGCTGGTGGCAGCAGATTCAATCACCAACACGATGTCTTCTTTGGTAAAAGAACTAAATTCTGGTGAGTGAGGCTAACGACAGTGGATTGTCACCACACTGACATTCTACATATATTTGAAAAAAATGGGAGGTAGGAAAATATAAACCAACAAAAGAAGCAGTGTAATATACCTTCAAAGGTTTTTATGCTTTTAGAAAAAAAAAATCCCTAAATAACAGCTTCAGGAATACAGCAGTTCTAAAAGCCATGGTCGTAGAGGTGGAGCTGGATATGGTGAAAATTTTGAGAAGATTTTTGTGATGCCACATAGAGTGGGATTTGGCTCTTTAGAAATTTCACTCAGTATAAAATACATAGGACCTGTTGTAAAATGCAGTCTGTAGTATTCTCATAAAAATGTCCTACCTAATAATCTAGATGAGCAAAAGCTTCACTATTCTGTCCCACCACAAGAAGAAAACTATTAGGTATATGTGGAATGATATACTGTTACTTGCTATGAAGAGGTGGTGTTCTGGGTTGGAAGGCAGAGAAAGGCTTAGAGGAACAGGCAAGTACACTTATGCTTGTGAAAGTTAAATGGAACCGCATGTCACCTTTTGCTTCACAGAAGTGGGCAGCGAGACAGAAAGCAATGTGGATTCTGAATTTGGAAGGACTCATTTTGATGACCTTGTTCCATCCCCAACGTCTGAGAAGGCTTTCCTCGCACAGATCCATGCCCGCAAGCCAGGGTACATCCACAGCGCTGCTGCCACCGGCTCCATCCGCAGTGATATGTGGGTACCTGCTCAGTTCGCCTTCTGAATCTCGTTATTCTTCTGTTGAAAAGAAGATGCAGCATGTAATAGTGTCTCTCCCTCTCAACTATTTGATTACCCAAAAAAATAAAAAGCCTAAATCCAAATGAGGACAGCTTTACGGTTAGATAATAGCGAGCTCTGTAAACTCTAGAGGCCAGAACTTGGGATGTCCTCAGGAGAGAGCTGTCTCACATCCAGTCTGGTACACTCAGGCAGCGTGGAGGCTGTGGGACAGCTGTGCTCCCTAATGCGCCCTGCAGCCCTATTCCCTGCTTATCCAGACTGAGGGGCCTGTTGAAGCCCATTGAGAAAAGAGAAGTTTTTAAATGGAAAAGACAGAATGCTTTTTATTGACCAACTCAGTTGATCAACAAACCGATTTATTTTTAGAACCTGAATTTTCCTATCAAAGACAATAGGCATCTTTCCAATTATTTTTAGTTCAACCTCTTTGTATCAAGTTATTGAGAATTTTTGTTACTCGTTTCGCTAGGGCTGTACCCCCAAAATGGCTTCAGCAGAATATGCCCTTTGGTCTACTTCATCAATACCAGACCACTGGAGAGGGGAAATAGCAGAAGTGTTTTCCACTGCCAGGAAAATGCTAACCAATGGAACATGTGGTTGGGCTAAAAGTATCCTGCTCTCCTCATAGCTTACAATAAAAGAGAAGTTTTATTGACTCTGAATGCCATTGATCTCAGGAGGCTATTTATTAATGATTGTCTGTAGGGTTACAGAAGATGGAGACCCCTATGTCAGAGCAGATGATGAAAATTATGAGAATGACTCTGTCCGCCAGCTGGAGAACGAGCTGAAAATGGAGGAGTATCTGAAGCAGAAGCTGCAGGATGAGGCCTACCAGGTGGGAGAAGGACACCAGTTGCCCATAAGTGGAAACAATAATGCGCCATACCTGCCCACTGCCCCTCCTAACGTGTCCTGGGCCCTGGGGTGTGATCTCTTCTCAGTTACTAGAGCAGCCACGTTCCAAAACCTGCTGTTGTTCTCTTCCGCAGACACACATGCATCTAGCCTTTATGCACATCCAGGAAGACCACACTGCCTGAGGCACACAACAGTGGTCCTTAAGCTTACCAGGGCATCAGGTGGGACACAATTGCCTCTGAGCTTGTTTTCTGCCAATGCCTACCAAGTCACTTAGACCTCATTCTTCTGTACCATGGAGGCTGGTTGGTGGTGTCAAGCTGTGTTCTTGCTATAGTTAGATTTTTTTTTTTTCTCCATTAGTGAAAAGCATTCATCATGGTTTCTCCAGTGTGAACTTGTGATGAGTTAGCCCTTGGCTGAGGGCCAAACCACA